CTGCGTTTCGCCCACAAAATATTCAGTAAATTCACTTTGCAGTATATTCTGTGAGGTGTTTTGAACCATCTCAAAGACATGATAAGTCACTATATCAAATTAAAGCTTTATTGCTTAATATAGATAAGTAAGATACAAAATTCAACCATGTTGAATGAATTCTGAAAATTGCAGAATATGGCAATATATTAGCCCGCAAAATTTTACTTGAATACTAGCTTGTAGTTTTCACCTTTGGTGAACTGAATATCAAAGCACGTTATTCGTAATTATGCTTGATATAATAATTCAACAACAACAATTTGGATTTATATAGCGCCCTCCACGCCGGACGTTGTCTCAGAGCGCTGCACAGTAACAGATCCCGGGGCCGAGCCAGGGGGGGGGAAGGTGACCAAAGCCGCGATCGAAAACAAAGGTCTTCAGTCGAGACCTGAAAATAGGAAGAGAGTGGGCAAGGCGAAGGGAGTGAGGAAGGAAGATCCAGAGCCTTGGGGCGTAGTGGCTGAAAGCACGGCCGCTGAGGGTGGAGCGGAGGATTTGGGGAATGAGGAGGAGGCCGGACCCGGTGAAGCGAAGGCAACGGGCACTGTTGTGAGGAGAGAGGAGGTCAGAGAGGTAGGGGGTGCAGGGATTTAAAGACAAGAGTGAGGATCTTGAAGTCGATACAGGACAACAGGACCATACTACTTCTGTGATAGTAATTTTTTAACATTTCTGAACAGAAGTATCCTGAAAGCCTTCACCACTTTTATTAAGTGAAACTCCATTTGCGGAGATGAAGTGATAACAATTGGTTAAGTAGCACTCAAACCATGTGAGTGCAGTCCCACTATGGTGGATGAGGAAGGAGGGGCAGCATAAGAGGATAGCTTGATCGGTTATATTGAACACAGCGGAGGACAAGGGTCAGAGGGAGTCCTAGTCATGGAGAGAGAGGATGGCTTTTGTGATCTTGACGCTATATTTGTGCTGTGGACAGGGCGGAAGCTGGACTGGAGGGGCTCAAGTAAGAATGAAAGGGAGAGGTGTATGTGAAGTTGATTGGCAACAACGCATTTGAAAACTTTAGCAAGGAAGGGAAAGTTATCCATATTAAATATTCCCCAATCCTTCAAATAATACTTTTTGGGGATATTGTGCCTATAACATTGAAACACCTCAAAGAGTTTCACCAATAATTGCTCTGAAGTGCATATTAGGCAAATTCAACAGTCAATTTAAGCAATGACCATTAGCAATGACCCACAAATAGCCACATGGGTGTCAGCCTGGCTTAATAATAATAATAATAATCCTTGCATTTGATATAGCGCTTTTCACGTCGAGAGGACGTCCCAAAGCGCTTCACAGAATATACTGTAAAGTGAATTGACTGTATATTTGTGGGCGAACGCGGCAGCCAATTGCGCACAGCAATGTCCCACAAACAGTCGTAGATTGAAAAGGCCAATTTATTATTGTTTTTGGTTTTGGAGGGATTATTATTAGGCTCTGTGTGGAGTAAGGAAACTTGCCAAGGTTTCGCCCTCTGCCTGGAATTGAACTCAGGTCTCTCGCTTGCAAAGCGAGTGCTCTAACCACTGAGCTACAGGCTTAGTTGGTAACACTTCTACCTCTGAGTCAGAAAGTTGTGGGTTCAAGCCCCAGATTGGGACTTTGAATTTACAGTCTAGGCTGACAATCCAATGGAAGTGACTGCATTTTGGAGGTGCTGTATTTTGGATGATACGTTAAAAAAAGGTCACCTCTGCCAGTTCACGTGGAGTTTGAAGATCCCATAGCATTAGGAGTTTCTCCTGGTGCCCTGGTCAATAATCCACCATAAAAAATTGGTTATTCACTTCATAGAATCATAGAATTATACAGCACAGGGGAGGGCATTCGGCCCATCGTGTCTGTGCTGTCTCTTTGAAAAGAGCTATCCAATTCAAGCCCACTCTTCCGCTCTCTACTTCTAGCCCTGCAAACTTGTGCTCTCCAAATAATTATCTACTTCTCTCAAATGTTGTTATCGAATCGGCTTCGATTCCCTTTCAGGCAATGCATTCCAGATCCGAACAACTCGCTGTGTGAAAAAATTTCTCCTCATCTCCCATCTGTTTCTGTTAGCAACTATTTTAAATTGGTGTCCTCAGTTTACTGACCTACCTGCCAGTGGAAATAGTTTCTCCTTGTTCACCCTATCGAATCCCCTCATAATGTTGAAAACTTCCATTAAGTCTCCTCTTAACAACAACAACAAGATTACATTTGTGTAGCGCCTTTCACATCGGGAGGACGTCCCAAGGAGCTGGAACCTTCTCTGCTCCAAGGAGAATAATCCTAGCTTCTCTAGCCTCTCCTCTGACTGAAGTCCCTCATTCCTGGTACCATCCTGGTAAATCTCCTTTGCACCCTCTCCAATTCCTTGACATTCTTCCTAAAGTGTGGTGCCCAGAACTGAACACAGTACTCTAGCTGAGGTCCAACCAGTGTTTTATAAAGGTTCATCATAACTTCCTGACTCTTGTATTCTATGCCCCTGTTTATAAAGCCCTATATCCCATATGCTTTTTAACAGCTTTATCTCCCTGTCCTGCCTTCAGAGATTTACTTATATGAACCCCCAGGTCTCTCTGTTCCTTCACCCCCTTTAAGATTGTACCATCTAGATTGTACCACCTCGCCCCCTCCTTAACCCCCCTCAAGACCCGCCTCAAGATCCTCCTCTTCGACCATGCCATCGGTCACCCCCCTTCCCCTCCCTTCTCCCTCCCTGACCCTAGCTTGGGTCTGAAACGCTGTACACTGTCCAGCATCTTTGGTCGTCCTCCCAACGTGAAAGGCACTACACAAATGTAATCTTGTTGTTGTTGTATATTGCCTGATCTCATCCTTCCTCCCAAAATGTATCACTTCGCATTTCTACACATTGTACCATACGACAAGGTTAAGAGGAGACATAATAGAAGTTTTCATAATTATGAGGGGATTAAATAGGGTGAACAAGGAGAAACTATTTCCACTGGGGGTTGGGTCGGTAACCCAAGGCCACAGATTTAAAATAGTTGTTAAAAGAAACAGAGGGGAGGTGAGGAGAAATTTTTCTCACACAGGGAGTTGTTCAGATTTGGAATGCATTGCCTGAAAGGGTCGTGGAACTGATTCGAATGGCCTCCTTCTGTGCTGTATGATTCTATAATTTCTTGATTCTATGATTGCAAGTTATCTACGACTTCATCAGTCCTCCTCAATTTGGCAGGCTGCCTCATCTGATATTATCAAGAAAGTTAGCCCCCTTTGCCCCCAGTCTGAAAATCAACCCGTTATTGCCATTCTCAGTTCTCTTTATTGCCATTCTTCCTGTCCTAAAGCCATGTCTCAATCCATGCTGCTATTTATTGTGATGTCCCTTGAACCTGCAACAAGACCCTTGTGCGTGGCACCACATTCTCCTATGTTACCTTTATTCTGAATTGCTCCTGCTCTTGAATTGTGCAAAGTTCTGTGTTACTGACAGCACAGTGCGTTAAATTCCATATAAATGCAATAGAGGTTTGGCTAATGAATAAAATAGCAAAAGGAAACAGGAAATGTACATCTTTGTCTGCATCTGTTCAGAAATTACAGAAATATGCATTCAAAGAATTAATAATCTCTACTTTCGTCATCTAGATACATGAAACTTTGACAGTGACATTAAAAAAAAAACAGTTGCTTAGGCAAATTTCCTTTGTGTTTCTTTTTAATATGTACATTTTACATCAGTGTACAGCAGGGTATCATTATCTCCCGCTGATTACTCATCTCCTGAATACATATTAGAGGCTGTATTCAGTGCAGTGTGACTGTGTGGGTGTGATGTTTTTGACATCACTAATGAAGCTTTTGCTTGGCAAGTATTTGATGAAAAGGCTAAACGTATTTCAGCACCCTGACCGTTATTAGGCACCACCAATGAAAAAAAATAGGTATTTGGCTACATATTCATTCAACTCAAGTTCTGTATATCGTCTGCATCTGAGCCATTCCAGTATTGACCACTCTTTTGCCATATTATCCATATCCCTGCTTCTTTATCATTTCTACAAAATGCTTCCATAAATCTGCAGTGTAAATCAAAAATGAAAAACAGAGGCACAGGTGTATGCTAATCAACAGTAATATTTGAGCAAATCAATCTTAATCTGGTTGTGCACACAGTATTCCTGCTATAGTTGTCAATGGGTTAAAATAATTCTCCCCTCTGGGGCTTTTCTTATTTTACAGACGCATAACTATTCCCACGTCAGACCTGGAAATACCTCAGCTTTACAGTTTTTTTTATTGGAATAATGCTCCAGACCAATATGCTTTCATAACCAAATATAGAACTTCCTTCCTCTTTCTCTCAGCTATATTGCGTATTTCTAACTTTGAATGCTAAGAGCTGCAGCACAAATAATATTCAGAATTCTACAGAGTGCATATAGCATTGTCTACATCAATTAAAATTCCTCTATTTATTGGTGATCTCACTGCAGTCAACCTGATTTGCACAAAAAACAAGGTACATGCAACAATTATAGTTTTAAAAGAGAACTTTCATGGAAATTGATTAAATGTATTTTATATTGGTTAGAATTATAAAATAAAACTAATGTAATCAAGAAAGTAAATTCCAAACCATTAATTTCTTAACATTTCTGGGCACGTTCTCAATAAATCCCTGATATTTTCACATCAATGCAAGGATACAAGACTACAGGATTTTATAGTATATCAGACAAGGTTCAAAACAACACTCTAATGGGATAGAATTAGAGCTGCAAAATCACGCCCATTTTGCACATAGAATTTAAAGAAAACTCATGAACTTTCACGAACTAAGAAATACACAATAACAAATGCAACTTTTTTGAAGATTCATTAAAAATTAAATATTATGCAGTTTGAACATAAATTATTCAAAAATATTTTCAGGTTAAAATTTATAGCACCAACACAGCACAAAATGATCAGAAAATAAAAATAAAAACCTGGATTAAAATTGGGAACCCAAGAGGTTGGCAGCCATTGCAGGGAGTGAATGCTTCCCATAGTCTGGTCGGTCCACAGCTTTTCTCGCCTTCCTCTTCCTCCTCTGCTGGTGGTAGATCAATGGGAGGAGACAGATGATCTCGCTGCTAAAAAAATAAAAATGATACAATAACACTTGCATTTGATGTAGCTCCTTATCATATTCAAATGCAAGGCCTTCTGCTTGGCTTCTGTCAGCGCTTCCATTCCTCAGGCGCTGACAGCATCACCCTTCATGGATGCACTCTACACCAAATGGAGCCAATACAGAACATCGGCATCCTGTTCAACCCTCAACTGCCCTTTATTCCCCCACAATCCATACCATGACTCGCTCCGCCTTTCCCCACCTCTGCAAATTTGTTCGGCTCCACCACTGAATCTCACCTCAGGATACCAAGACCCTTATAAATCCAGGCTCAACTACCATAACTTCCTGCTTGTTGGCCTCCCCAACTCCTCCCTCCACAGGCTGCAGATCATCCAGAAGTCTGCAGCCCATGTCCACTCCTGTACCAGGCTCCTTGACCCTATCATCCCTATCCTTGCCCGACCCTACTGGCTCCCCATCACTCAGAGGATACAGTTCAAGATCCTGGTCCTCACCTTCAAAATCCTCCACGGCCTAGTTTCTCCCTACCTCTGTGACCTCCTAATCAACCTGTCCACTCCCTACGCTCAGCGGGCTTCAGCCTGCTTCACGTCCCCCGCCTTGTCCGCCCCATCATTGGCGGGCCGGCCTTCAGCTTCTCTACCCCCACCCTCTGGAACTCCATCCCACAGTCCCTCCACCTCATCCCCTCCCTTGCCTCCTTCAAGAACCGTCTCAAGACCCTCCTCTTTGATGTACCTTCGGTCACCCTCTTACACCTATCCTCCTTGCCCTCCACCCCTCCTCCAACCATCAGCTCGTGTGCGGATCCCTAACTGTCCAGCACCTTGATATGTCCTCCTGACATGAACAGCCCTATACAAATATAATTTGTTGTTTTTGTGTTGTTGTCTCACACAATGTATTTCTTTGAAGTCTATTGCCTGTTGTGAAGAAGAAGAATCCTTACATGTGATATAGCGCTTTTATCACGTTGTTAGAGATGCCTCAAAGTACTTCACAGGATATACTGTAAGGTGATGTGACTTGTGTGTATTTTGTGAACAAACGCAGGAGCCAATTTGTGCACAGCAATTATACTGGGTCCTTTTCACGGTAAAGTTGGATTTGGAAGGAATATCGATCAAAGCACTGGGAGATCTCCCTGCTCTTTTTCTAAGTGGTGTCATAAAATTTTAATGTCCCTATGAACCACCGACAACAGCATACAAAAAAGATAACTTTCAACAACACGCAAAATAAGCAGATTGTGAAAAGTAGCAACATATGCCAAAAAAAGTTTTTAAAAATTGCCAATTAATATACAGCTTGGAACAAATATTTGGACGTTTTTTTTCTGGGGAAATTCACTCTCAAAGAAAAATTATGTACTCGAGAATTTCTAATACTTTCAGTCAAATGCACCATTTTTGGAACACAGATTTACGACTGTATGAAACAGATTCCTTGAACTCTCACACCAGCAAAAAATTCTCATATTTAAGTTTAAAATTTACTTAGAAATTCAACAGTGCATTCGTTCATCAGTCAGTTTGCTCATTCTTATTTCAGAAATTTGTTTAATCAGTTACCATGGTCAGCGGTTACTTGTAGTAACATGGCCATCTACCACTTGACACTTGTGGATGGAACACCCATTGCAAGATTCATGATTTTGTGATTGGAGCCAGAAAACAGACCCTTGGTATTGCTCTGGGCGGTTTGCCTTTGAATATTAAGAAAGCGCTGGTCATTTAAACCATTCTTAAATAATTCCATCATCCCACAGTACAGAAATAGCCTTGGTTCAAAGAGACAAATTACATTTTGTCCACCTGTGACCAGGGCTTTCTCTGTCTCCTTGTCCTCCTTGACCTCTCTGCTGGCTTTAACACTGTCGACCATTCTATCCTCCTCTGCCGCCTCTGCTCTCAGCTCAATCTTCACAGTCGTGAACTTGCCAAGATTTGCAATCTTACCTTTCACACCATCTCCACTTTGTCTCCACAAACACCTCCAGCCCCCACAAACAGTCTCCAGGCCTCACACCATCACATGCAGCATTCCTCAGAACTCTGTCTTTGATACTCTCCTGTTCAATATTTATCCCTTGGTGACATCATCCACAGACATGGGGTCAACTTCATATGTATGCAGATGACACTGCCCTCGACTCCAGGACCATTGTTGTCCTGACGGAATGTCTGTCAGACATCAAGTCCTGGATGAAAGCTAACTTTCTCCAGTTGATTACCAGCAAGACCGAGGCCCTCTTGATTGGCTCCCGTCAGCACCTCCACACCTCAGCGCTGATAGTATCATCAGCGTCAACAGCATTGCCCTGGAATACTGCAGACCACCTGACTCAGGAACTGGACTACACAGGCCACCCCAGTAAGAGGCAGTAAGAGATGAAAGAGAGCAGCTGGGTCATTTTATCTCTGAAACATCTATTCCTTACTCAAGAGGAAGTGATGAGATGATTGATATTAGGAACTGACCACTTGGGCAAACCCCATATCCTACCTCTCTATGATTTAGCATTTTTTAAAAACAGATTACATCAGTTATGCATTACTCTGGTTTTAAAAGTTTAAATTTTAACCAGGTAGCTCTCACTTTGATTTTTAACTACATTATGACTGTCAATTTAACTCGACTTTCCACCGTGATGCATTTCACCATTACCAAATTGCAAGACGGTTCACTTTATGATAGCTGATATCTCAGCAATCAGACATAAGGGTTATATGCACATTAGAGAAATAGGCCTGTTAGCTGTTATAATAATAATAATAATCCTTGCATTTGATATAGCAATTTTCACGTCGGGAGGACGTCCCAAAACGCTTCACAGAACACACTGTAAAGTGAATTGACTGTATATTTGTGGGCTGTATATCTGTTGACTGCAAACTGATATTGAGGATAGCTATGGAGAATTCTAAACCTCAGGTTTAGGAGGAAGGAGAATGCTCAAGGAGGAAGCATAGTGTCAAAAATGGGAAATGTTCTTTTTTAAAAGGGATGGATTACAATTTGACTTGAGTACATTTTCTTTCATGTTACACAGTGCCAAATTGTATTAAAATGCATTTTTTATGTATTTCTGGGTAAAGTCTTCAGGATGAAAATGACATTTCTAGCTCTTTCCCTCCTGCTCACATTTTCCTTCATACCATTCCAATGCTGCTAAGGTATTTAACTTGACAATAATTTTATCCTACTGGTATATTGCCGCAGCAAACACTGGATGTACAATAATGTGGAAGGGGCAGTCAGATTTGTACTGCCTTCTCTATTTTCCTCCATTTGGAGAAAATTTTGGAGCTCCACTCCACTCCACTTGGCATGAGGCCAGAACACAAGAAATTAAGCATTTGCTTCTTCATAATGTTAATGAGCAAGTCACACTACATTGTCTTTAATAACATTAAAAATACTCCAACTGGAGCTTTGAATGAACTTTGGGATCAGCAAACTTTAATTCACAGCCCATTTGTACGACATAGGTGTGAGACACAGTTCTTCATGCCATCTGCTCCCCATAGCTCTGCTGTCCATCACTGTTTTGGACCCAGTCGTCTGAACATTTGCCAATCTTTCAGTAAGTGCAGTATTTTAACCTTAGTTCCTTCAACTAAAGTATTTTTTCCTCAGTCAAATATCAAGCTACTTTATTATGCCCGAGAAGTCTGGAGCAAAATGAATATACTGTATTATGACTCATGAACATTTTCAAGGATACATGAAAAATATAAATCACCCCGGTAATACCCAATGCTGCAACGCTATCAGGAGGTGGGAAACTATATAATATTGTATTGTAACATAAAGAGGTAAAACAGATTATTTTGGTTCAGGCACATTTATCTATGTTAATGTTAAGATCAAAGGTTTATCCTACTGTATCATACAAGAACTTTAGAAAAAGCTACTGCAAAGATTCCATAGAGTTCAACAAATGTAAAGGAAATTAAACTACTCTTCCAGTTATGCAGTAATGGAGATTACAGATAATATACCTTTTTATACTTTAACTAATTGTTTACAGATGTAAGCTTATTACAAAATCATAAGAACAAATAAAAACCTGTAACAACGGCTTGAAAGCCAGTGTGACTGGCACTGAATATGACATAATATAGCTTGGAAACAGAGGTACGGGTAAACAAACCAAAAAAAAATGACTCAAGGAAAAGCACACAGCTAATAATCCAGAAGACCAGTCCATAACGGAAGAGGCAGAATGAGGTTATTAAATTTATCCTTCTTTAGAGGAATTATGAAACTAAAGTGAGCAATCTATCTATTCTCTGTATAAATTCCCTTCTTACAGAAAGTAGGGTCACATTCCAGGGCAACCTTGAACATTGTTCTGCCACACACTATGGAACAGATGAGTATAGTTACTTGAAGTAGCTTTCTGTGAATACTTTGAGGTACTATTTCTTCAGAATGGCTAACCTCGTCAATGAATGGAATGTGTTTTAATCATGTTAGTTTTCCCAGAAAGTTCAAGCCTGTTGGATACAAAATAATAAATAAGGACTAATTGACTAGAACCAACAACGGAATGAGATCAGGAGGGAGAGAAAGCAAGAAGCAGGGAGAACTGAATAGAGGGTATTTGGTGATTGTGTAACTGGAGACCAAAAATAAGAGATAAAAGATTTTGAGGTAAGGGGAAAAAAATATAGAGAAAAAGGGGTCTGATATCAGCCTGAGAGGAGATTAAGAAAAGGAGAGGAAAAAGCCTGGGTTTTTCCTTGTTTTCCCTGTCTAGGGAATTTTTTTTTTGCCTAGTCATAGTTATGGGGAAAAAAATAGGAGTGGGAAGGGGGAGGAGAGAGAAGAGGGATAGTAGTGTGGAAGAAGGAGAAATAGTTGAGGATAAGGTGTATGAAAGCACGAGTGGATACAGTGGGTATAGAATAAGAAGCAGTAGTGAAAATGGCAGGGAAGCTGAAAGGAAAGACGGAGGTGGTAGGGGGGTGGTTAGTAATGGTAGCAGTG